ATCGGGGGGCTCCAAGGTCGGGGGGCTCCGAAGTCGGGGTGCTCGGGGGGCGCCGAGGCCCGGACGCCCGGGGGCTCCTTTCTCCATGGCAGCGGGACCCGCGTGCATTGGCGCCCCAACGGGACAGCTCTGTGCTCTGGACCACCCCCAGATGGCCAGGTCCCCCTACCGAGCTGGCCGCGGGGTCTCCCGGGTCCCCCCCCCCCGAGCTGACCGCAGGGGTCCCCGGGTCCCCACCCCCCCAGCTGACCGCAGTGGCGATCTGCTGAAGCCCCCTCCTCCGATGGGGCGGCTCTGGGTGCAGCGCGCTCCCCGGCTCGCAGGCTCGCCCACCCTCACCCCTCCACCGAGGGGCCGGAGCCCACATGCATCACCTTGGGTGCTTTCCGCATCACCCCGAGGGGAATTTTATTTTTTTTTAAATTGGTCCTGTTTTATTCCCCCAGGACAACGTGGAAAGGGCAGACGCCTTGCAGCTGTCAGTGGAAGAGTTCGTGGAGCGCTATGAGAGACCTTACAAGCCCGTGGTCCTCCTGAATGCCCAGGAGGGCTGGTCTGCCCAGGAGAAGTGGACGCTGGAACGCCTCAAGAGGAAATACCGGAACCAGAAGTTCAAGTGCGGGGAAGATAACGACGGCTACTCGGTGAAGATGAAGATGAAGTACTACATCGAGTACATGGAGAGCACCAGAGACGACAGCCCCCTCTACATCTTCGACAGCAGTTACGGTGAACACCCCAAGAGGAGGAAACTCCTGGAAGACTACAAGGTGCCCAAGTTTTTCACAGATGACCTGTTCCAGTACGCAGGGGAGAAGCGGCGGCCCCCTTACAGGTAAATCCCCCTCACAGGGAAAGCCCCCTTATAGGGAAAGCTCTTTATAGGGAAAGCCCCCTTAACAGGTAAAACCCCTTACAGGTAAAGCTCCTTGTGGGTAAAATCTCCTTAATGGTAAAGCCTCCCTTACAGGAAAAACCCCCTTACAGGGAAAGCCCCTTACACGTAAAGCCCCCTTAAGGTAAAGCCCCTTACAGGTTAAGCCTCCCTGCTGAGTGGTTTCAACCTCACTGTAACAGCTTCCCTTCCCTGACCTTTTGTTTCTTTCTTTTAAAAAAAAAAAAAA